GATCTCTGAGTTTGAGGCCAGCCTGGCCTACAGAGTGAGTTCCAGGACATCCAGGGCTACACAGAAAAGACCCTATCTCAGAAATAATAATAATTTTATGGTTGGGAATCATCACAACATGAGGAACTGTAGTAAAGGATTGAAGCATTAGAAATATTGCTCTAAATCATCTTACCCTAAAATGGTAAGATTACCCTCTTCTTTTTTCATCTTTAGATGCTTTAATTAGCAAGCTTTAAATAGCTGCTGTTTTTTGGTCATTTCAGTTTTCAACAACATCTCACCATGAAACATGAGAGTTTAGTTCCTTTATATAACTACTGTTCACCCCTTTACACATTATAACATAAGCATTCTCTCTCTTTCCTACTGGACCATCCTTGTCGATAGAATTGCATCGTAATTCTGGTCAAATCAGCATTCAGAACCAATAGTGCAAGCCTTTAACCCCAGCCACTTGTGAGGGTGAGGCAGGAGGATCACAAATTCAAACTGGCCTGCTCATCAAAACCCATCTCATCAAAAATATATAAATAAAAGTAAAAATCAGCACTCAGGATTTAAACCACTCATCAAAGTTTTTCAATATGAATTTTGCCTTTAGGTTCAGGAATATTTTGTTTTTGCTCAATTTTTAAAATTGCCTCCGTAGAAAGGGAAAGGGAGTGGATGGTGGGGAGGTTGAGGGGAGGGACTGGGAAGAGAGGAAGAGGGAAGGGAAAACTGGACTGAAAGAAATTGATTAATATTTAAAAAATTCCTTCATTTTCTCTATTCTGTCTTTTTGGGAATTCCTATTTACTTACAGCCTTCTTGGTTTTTTTTTTTTAAGTTAACACACAAAGTGATAGGTTTATTATGAAAGTCAATATAATGAATTAAATATAAATTTAATTTCTGTATATTTTCACACATATTTTTGCTCCAGTGTGGGTGACTTCCTCAATTTTTATTCTATAAACTTAGAATTATAAAACTTTTTATGGAGGGTGGGTGGGGTGGGGGAGGAGGGATGGAGGTGAGAGGAGGGAGAGGGTGAAGGGATTGACATGTAAAACATGCTTGTTCCTAATTTGAACTAATAAAATTTAAAAAAGAAAATAGAAAAGAAAAGAAAGGCAAGACATCACTTGGGAAAAAAAAACTTTTTATGGAAAGAGCCAATAAATATTTAAGCCTCTGTGAGCCTGTCTCTGAAGCAGTGACCCAGTTCTTTTGTTGTGTGAAAGCAACCAAAACGAGCAATTGAGGGCACTGATATGGTCCAGTAAAACTTAACACACACCTACAGGCATTGGACCTCTGCTCTAAATTTTCTCACTCATTGATTTTCTCTGTTTGGTGGAGCTTGCTTTTATTTTTTTTTTAAGAAAGTGTTTCTTTTCGTTTTATGAATATATTTGCTTTTCTTTTTCTGGGGAAAGTGCCTAAAATCCTGTTGTTACTCGTTGGTTGGTAACTTGGGTTTATTGTTTGTTTTCATTTCCTTGCATAGGCTTTATTTACTCAGGGTTGCTTTATTCCATGGTTCCAACCCGTTTTTCATACTAGAAGCTTTCTTCAAATTCCTGGTTGTCCTTGCATATGTACAGGGACACTAAAAAGCTGATTATGAGTTGTCTGTAGGTATGGGTAGGATGTTTTTACTATGATTCTCATCTTGGATTTGAACTGACATTTGGGACTCTCTGATCTGTATGATTAATCCTTTCTTAGATAGAGATTGGATTCCCAAAATATAGACCTCTGTTTCCTGTCAGAGTCTCTTACTTCAAGAGAACGAAGTGGGAGAAACCTGGGACTATCATTGAGTTCATTAACATTATAGCCTCTCAATTTTCAAGTGGATATTTTCACCCTTAGCTGCACCTGGTTGTCCCTAGTCCTGCTTTACCTTCACACAGAAGTGTGCCACTGCACATGGGTGTGGAGTTCAGAGGACAGCTTTCGGGTTCTCTCCTTTCACTGCATGTCTTCTGAGAATCAAACTCAGGTTGTCAGACTTGGTGGCAGGTGCCTTTGTAGCAAACATACCCTGTACTATCAAGATTTTTTTCTTGCACTTCTGCTGTACTTGGTTTTACTAAATTTGGCGGTGGTTCTTATAAAGTTATATATGCGACAGAGTGGGCCATTGTTTAGAGTGTGGGGGAAAAGGAATTCTTATTATGTTTTACTGAAATGATATTTAAAATTCTGTTCAAGATGGACAAAATATTGGGATCAAGCACATTCCTGCAACCCAGTGTGGCATTTGGGTCCGAACCAGCAATGGAGGTCATTTTGCTTCACCCAACTATCCTGACTCATATCCGCCAAACAAGGAGTGTATCTATATTTTGGAAGGTATTTGACAAATCTCTATCTTTTTTTGGATAAACTTTTACTTCACTATAAAACTGAGAGCATTAGCTAAATACCCTGTTTAAAACAGTTTGAACAAAATTTAAATGTGTTTGAATTAAATTATAATAAAGATAAATATTGTAAATATTTAATACATTAACAAAATGATACCTAATTTTAATGGGAATTTGTAATTGTTTAAAATATAGTTCAACTAAGTGTGCCACTGTTTGGGAAACTTCCCTGATAGATAAGGAATGTAAGTTCACTGGCATGCCTTGCTAGGCTTTCAGTTCATATTGAGTTCCTTTGTTTACATATGTATCACATATGATACACAGCATATGGCACATTGTTTTTTTATGGATTAAGCAAGAATTAACCTTTCACCTCTTCTAATTTTAGTCAACCAAGTATATTTAACTAAATTAAAAATTACATATACCTGGGGAAATGTTACTCTAATTCTATGACATAGCATGATTATTCCTGTGAAAGAGCTTTTCTTATGGCTTTACATAGGTAGTTCTCAGTAAGCTTCTCAGATGTGAAGCACTGAAGTAATTGATTTGCTTGTCCCATCTGTGTCCGACATGTATGCCTTGTTCATGCTGCTGTTTGCTTACTCTTACCTTATAGCCGCTCCTCGTCAACGGATAGAGCTGACCTTTGACGAACGCTATTATATAGAGCCATCATTTGAATGTCGCTTTGATCACTTGGAAGTTCGAGATGGGCCATTTGGTTTCTCCCCTCTTATAGATCGTTACTGTGGCATGAAAAGCCCTGCATTAATTAGGTCAACAGGAAGATTCATGTGGATTAAATTTAGTTCTGATGAAGAACTTGAAGGACTAGGATTTCGAGCAAAATACTCATTCATTCCAGGTAACAAATTAAGTGCCCTTAAAAAATCAGTTACTTTTCAGTATTTGAGTATATCATTCGTTTTTGAATCTTGAGTTTAGAAAGGAATAATTTGATCAAGGTAATCAGATTAAGACTGAAGAAATTGTCAAAGTCAAAAGAAAGTCAGTCTAGGAACATGTGGAAAACTGTTTAAAATAGGGAGCAGTAGACCACATCCCAGTCTATTTCTGTGGGAGACCAGACAAAGTTGCATTTTCTTCTTAAATGTCTTTTAGGGCATACATTTAAGACCAACATCAAAATAAATATATTTTTTAAATAATTCAATCCATTGTCTTTTCACAAGTTCCACAATGGCAGATTTTTAAATTGAATTTATTAACCATTCGCCAATATTTTAGAAACTACTTAACAATTGAATTAACACTGCACCTGCATTTAAAAGGGCTAGATCTGGGTTTGAGTCTTTTCTCTACCACCTAGTAGCTATAACATTTAAGCACAAAGTTGTGCCTGACACTTAGCAATAGTAAAGTAGTAATACCTTCTGTATTCATCTCCTGGATCTGACATAACTAATTAATACAGTTCTGGTAACTTAAAGAGAGGAATATATAAGTTGTTGTAGTTCTGGAAGCTGAAATTCCAAAATCCAGTAAAGTCTCACTCCCTCTAGGAACTGAATCTTGTTCTGTTGGGGGTGTGAGTGGGAGGTTAAGACAGTCTCTCTATGTAGCTATAAGCTGTCCTCAAACTCTCTATGTAGGCCATGCTAGTCTTGAACTCTGCCTGCTTCTGCTGAGACTAAAGGTGTGCACCACCACACCCAACTAGATCTGTTCTTTATCTCTTGCAGTGTCTGGAAGACTATCCAGCATTTCTGTATTTGTGACCATTGTGCTCTAACTTCTGACTACAGCTTCTCTTAAAATTCTTTTTCATTTTTATTTGTGTAATACATGGTTTTGTTTGTTTGTTTTGGCGTGTGTCTGTCTCTGTCTGCATGTACTTATGCACAGGATGCCCACAGAGGCCAGAAAAGGGCACCAGGTCCCCCAAAGCTAGTTACAGGTGCCCTGTGGGTTTTGGGAACAGAACTCCAGTTTTCCCTAAAAAGAGCAGCAAGTGCTGTTAATCACCGATCCATTTCTTCATACTCAGTCTTAAAATTCTTGTTGATGTACTTTGTGTTGTAATATAATATTCACTTTTTATAAACATATACAGTAAAACTCACAGGGATTTGGATGTGGGTATGTATATCTGAGCACTACTGCACTGTCAGCCGTGCCTTGTAGATAAGAACACTGATCAAATGCTGTGAGAACTCTAAAGCTCTATCCAATGAAAAGGATGTGTATAATGTGGAAACTCAGAAATCAGTATGTTATTGTGCCCAAGGAATTTACAAATATAACAGAATGAAAAAAACAACCTGGTGTAGCAAGTGTATAATTTTTGTTTTGTTTTTATAGAAGAAATTTTTAACTGAAAAATACACAAAATGAAACTAATTATAATTCTGTCACTTTATGTTTAAAATCATTGCTGACAATTTGGTAATTACCTCTTAAAATGGATTTCTTTATTCAGTTTGCTGGTCACGCTATTTATACAGCTCTATTATCAGCTTTTTTATCCCTTAAAAATCAAACCACTTTCTATCTGAATCAATAAACATTATGGAAGCTTTTTGTATCGGTATCATCTAATACTGAAAGGACAATATTTTCAAACAGTAAAATTTGTCTAATAGACTTTAATAACAGTTTATAATCACAGCAAAATGAGCAGGAAGTACTTACCAGATACACCTCTCCACTCCCCTGTATCCACATCTTACCACAAGAGTGGTGTATTTGGTACAATCAGTAAACCACCATGGGCACATGCAGTATGTTGATTCTTCAGGTCAACTTCTTTCAACATTGTATGAATATGACTTGATAGGTGATGGATGAGTGTGTGTGTGCTACATTTATTGTGTATATTTGTATTTTTGTCACAGATGGGTAGAGGTTAGTAGACAACTTGTAAGAATCAGTTCTCTCTACCATGAGGGCTCCAAAGTGAATTGTGATAAATGCGAATGAAAATTACTTAGAAACAAAAGGCAAATGTTGTATCAGTCCAGTTACATGTTACCTAAAGTTGTTTTCCACTCTGGTTGGTGGCATGAACTTGGAAAAGAGGACTAAAAATGAAGTGGACTAAAGGATTATGCAATAGCCAACTTTATTCAGAACATCAGACAATTTATACTCTGAGAGTTAAGAAGAATCACATGAGTAAGGTACTCAATTACAGGGACAACACACGGCAAAAAGCATGCTTTTTCATAGAGACATATGAATAACACAGCTGAAGTAAACTTACTCCTCTCCCATATTCCTGGGAGGAGCATGAAAACACATTCCAAGAACAGTTCTGTTTTTGTCTTTGTTTCTTGGAGTTTCTCATAAGCACTCAGAATTCTCACACAGCTCCAAGTAGACAAATTCCCCTGTCTCGGGAAAAAAAAAAAAAAAAAA